CTCGAATTGTGGTGATGTGGGTCCGCAGTCAAAGCGCAGGTGGCGATGGCAATACGTGTAACACGTGTCTAGTCGTATGGCAGCGGCAAGCTGCATAGTAGGATGAGTCACGCTAGTTAGGCTCACCGTCAGACGGGTCCTGATACTCTGGTGCGTGAGATCTGGAACTGTTGGAGATGCTGAAAGAGGTGAGCAACGTTAACTTCCTGAAACAGAGCCATACCTATACGACCACCCTTCGGGTGATACGGAGGTTCGGGGGGAGGAACCAACGTCTGACTCAATCGATGTCACGATCGACCTTCCTATCGATTTCACTATGGATCTCGCGATCTATCTCACAATCGACCTCCTTGAAGAATTCACAATCGATCTCACAGTCGGTCTCACGATCAGTCTGGCCTATCGATCTCTCGATTGGCCGCCTACTGGACACCTACGGGACATCAGTGTCGATCTCACTATCGGTGTCACTCGGTCGATCTCACAATCGATCTCACTAACCATCTTACAATCGACCTCACTATTCCACTCACTATCGATCTCGCCATCGATCTCACTATCGATCTCACCTTAGATCTTACTAAATATTTCACTTTCGATCACACGATCGATAGCACTATCGATCTCACTATCGGTCTCTTTATCGATCTCTCTCTCTCTCTGTCGACCTCACAATTGGACACCGACGGGATACCAATGGGACATTAGTATCGATCTCACTATTGATCTCATTCGGTCGATCTCACAATCGATCTCACTATAGACCTCTCAATCGATCTCACGATCCCTCTCAGCATCGACCTCGCCATTTATCTCCCTATTGATCTCACGACCGGTCTCACCATCGATCTTACTCACGATTTCACTGTCGAGCTTACTAGGGAAGCCACTAGCGATCCCTCTGTAGATCTCACTATCGGTCTCGCGATCGATCCCACTATTTGTCCCACCATCGGTCTCCCTACCGATCTCCCTACGGAACACCGACGGGCAACCGACGAGATCGACCGACGGAGCGCCGACGGGACACCGACGGGCACTCCGACGGCACACCGACGGGGGGCACCCGCGGGATAGCTCCGGCCACCGCCGCACAACCCAGGGAGGCGCGTTTTTTTGGGGGGGGGCTCGACGGCGCCCTTGCCAGAGGAGGGTTCATCCTCCTCCTCCTCCTCCTCTTCCTCCTCCTCCTCCTCCTCTTCTTCCTCCTCCTCCTCTTCCTCCTCCTCTTCTTCCTCCTCCTCCTCCTCCTCGCCCGCCCACGCGGCTTCGCCTCGCGCGCACGCAACACACAACCACGAAACCGAAGCCAGTTTGCCGAAGTGGGGGCTCTCCGTGTCACTGCGATCCTGCCAGCTCACCTCGGAGATTTGTCTGGTCGTCATAATGGTTCGAGTAGTTGTACGCGCCAAGGTTACAACATGGCGTGTCCGTGGAAAGATGGACAGTCCTGGGGATCTCACAGTGTTAGACTCGGTGGATAGCTCTGAAAGGTTGGACGCGCTGGTCGAGGTCAGGCGTGATCACTGAAGTTTTCAAGAGACGGTTTGGGCGTCTGATGTCCACGCATGGTACCCGTCCAACGCGAAGGTCATCACAAAACAGGAGCTACATCCATCCCCCACGAAGTCCTTACCAACTGCCGTGTGTACCCGCGTCGCACGTGCGCCTTGCACGATGGAGCAGCAGCGCTGGCTGTTGATTCTGGCTGTTGATTCTCGTGTCCTGCGCTGGCTGTTGATTATCGTGCGCCTTGTCGATGTCCTGCGCTGGCTGTTGATTCTCGTGACCTGAGCAGCCTCCCGGTCCCTGTCCGCGTCCGCGCCAGCTGTGGACTTGGCATCGCCCGGACGTGTGCATTTTTTTCGGCGAGAACCATCGAGGAGCATCCCGGACCATCGAGCAAAACAAATGGCACGAAATCGACAAATGCACGGGAAATGGACGTCCGAGAAACGGCAAGTGGAGGATATCGCGCGGCCTTGGCTCCAGGAGCGTACGCTCGGGAGGCCCGCCGTCGCGGGGCGGAGGCCGACTGGGCTCCGCCGCGGGCAGCGCCCTCCCGCAGCTCCGCTCTGCAGCCCCCTCCTCGGCCCTCTGCTGCCGCTGCCCGCCTTCTGCCCCGACGGTGCGGCCCCTGAGGCAGGCTGCGGGCGAAGGGGCGGCCCTCAGAGGGGACCTGCTCTGACGAACGAGCAACACACACCCTCACCCATAGGGGGGTCGTTGAGAGGAGGACTGGCTATGGGTATGGGTGCGGGTTGTCGGACCATGGGGAACGCTCCCGTTCGAGCGAGGACCCCCATCCGACAACACGCACCCATAGCCTTCTCCGACCCCACTATGGGTATGGGTGTGTGTGTGTGTGTTGTTGTTGGTTCGTCATGCTCCGGGGGTTCGGGGCACCTCGTCCGTCCTAAACTCTGGCGGCTTTTCTGGTGCCCGGCGCGTGCTCGATGCGGAATCAGCGCGGATTCGGCGCGGATTCGGCGCGCAGTCGACGCGGACTCGACGAGGGCGACGTGGATCCGAGGAAGGGCTCGGCCCGGATTCGACGCGGAGGGGGGCGCGCCTTGGGCAGGCGAGGCCCCCCCCACGGCTGCCCCCGCAGCAGGCGCCCGGTCCTCGCCGAGGGGTGCCCCGCCCTGCCCCAGCCTGCCCTGGGGCGTGCGTCGGAGGGCACCAACTATACACCAACACCGATCCTGGCCCAGGATCTCCCTGGGCCCAGGATCGGTGTATATGCCTTCTTGCCCAAGGCAGGAGGGCGTATACACCGATCCTGGGCCCAGGGTGATCCTGGCCAGGATCGGTGTTGGTGTATAGTTGGTGCCTTCCTAGTGCGGCTTCGGTCTCGGGCAGCTGGTCGCCGACTTCATTCTCGGCGACGAGTGCCGCCGATGCCAGGTGGCCGCTTCCCCCCCCCCCCCAACCCGAGCCAGGCCCCATCTGCAGCCCGGACGTGCAAGGATCGTTTTCGTCTCAGGAGGGGCTCTGGCATCCACTGGTCTCAGGAGGGGCTTTGGCTTCAAGGATCGCTTTGGTTTCAGGAGGGGCTAATGCATTCAAGGATCACTTTGGTTTCACTCGTTTTTGGGCCGCCCCTTAGATCCAGGCCAGGGAACCTCCTCCGTGCCCGAGGCTCGCCGTTGCCAGAGAGGGCCCCTTTGGGTCCCCCTGTCAGCGTTCTGCTGCAGGCCTCCTTGGGGGACTTCAGGGGGAACTTCGGGCACCCCGCTCCGCGTGCCTCGGCCCTGCTGGGGCAAAGAACGCCCTCTGGACGACCTCCCGCCCACCCCTTTGCGATGCCCGCCCCCCGGGGCCCGAACTTCCAGCGCAGGCTTGGATATGGCAAAATTCAGCGCTCCGTCCTAGTAACCCTTTGGGAGTACGGTCGGACCGAGGCACCAGTGCGAGGTCCGTTCGGGGAGAGTGTCTTGGTGTTCTCCGTGCTTGCTGGATGCTCTTGTGTATCCTGGGGAGGGTACCCCTTGATGTCCTGGTGGCTTTGGCCGGCGGAGGGCCCCAGCTTCTTGAAGGATGTTCTTTTAGCCCAGGCCCGATCGTAGCGCTCTCCCTGAGGCCCCGGGCGCCACGAGGGCTTCGGCGCGGCAGCGCCCCGCGGCTGCGGGCGCCCCTTGCCGGGCCGCGGAGGTGCGGCCGCGGGCCGCCGCGGCCGGCGGCGCGCCGCCGCTGCGGCGCCGCCGCCGCCGCCACGAGGCCGCCGCCGGTGGCCGCTGGGCCGCGCGGGCCTGGCGGCGGCGCTGCTGCTGGCGCTGCGCCCCGCGGCGCGCGGCGCCCGCCGCCGGGGCCCGGCGGGCCCGGCGGGCGCTCGCTCCGCGCGGGGGGGGCCTCGCCGCGCGGCAGGCGCACCGAGGCGAGCGGCCGCCCTGCCCCAGCTGGACCTGGAGGCCCGGGAGCCCGGGCCCCGACGCTTGGGGCCATTGCGGCGCGGCAGCCTGCGGGGAGGTGCTGCCCACCGGGGGGCCCTTCGCACCGGCCGGCCGGGCGTGGCCGCGGCTGCCTGGGACGTTTGCGCGTCGGCAGCAGCCGACGCCGAGTCGGCCCCCGTGCGAGGGGTCGCGCGCACGACCCGCTGCGGCGAGGCCAAACAGCGCTCGTGCACGCCGTGCCTGGCTTCTGGAGTCGGGGTGCTCGCTGCCTCGCCGTCGTTCTCCTGCCGCCCCCCCCTCCTTCTGCCTCCCGTTTCCCTCTTCCGGCCCCCCGTCCCTCCGCGTCCTCGTTCCCCCCCCCCCCTTTCTCGCCTGCTCTTCCTCGAACCTCGGCCTCCTCCCGCAACCTTCCCCCGCTGCCCTCGCTGGGGTACCCTGTGCGCCCTAGCCACGGCGCCGGTCCCAGTGGGGGGCGCTGCCCCGCGCCCTGGGCGTGCCCTCGCTGGCAGGGCGCCCCCCGCGCGATCTGCGCCGCTTCTCGGCACCGCGCGCGGGTAAGCAGGCGCGCTGGCCTGGGCAAGGCACGGGCGCCCCCGCTGCTCCTCGTCGTCTCTTCCTCCGCCCTTTCCCTCCTCCCCACTGGCCCCAGCCCCGACATGATCGCGTCGTAAAAATGTTTTTGGCCACCTTCGGCTTCGGGGAGCCCTCGCCGGGCCTCCGGGCCGTCAACAAACGATTCAGGATGAAAGACCCGTCCCAGGGGAAGGGTCGGGACTTCCAGGGACCCCGCATTGAAAAAATCAGGACTTCGCACGTCTGGGAGGGCAACCTCCCCTTCATCCTCCTGCTCCTCCTCAGTCCGCCCCTGCCCGTCCTCCTGCAGCTCCTGCTCCTCTGGCTCCGAGTCGCCCACCTCCGTGCGGCTGCTCCTCGCCGTCGCCCCCCCTCCATCTTCCGCGGCGCACTCCTCCGTGAGCGCGCCTGCCACCACTGCTTCTCCCCGCCTTGGTCGTTCTCGTCGCCGTCCTCCCCCCCGAATTCCCCTCCGCCCTCCTCGTCCCCAGACGTGCGGCGGCGGCGGCGGCGAGCGGGGCCATCCGCCAGGTTGCCGTGAAGGTCCTGAAGCGCCACCCCAAGCTGTCCCACCGCGACCGTCGGCACGCCTTCGCGATGCACCGCGAGAGCCAGTGGTCTCCCCCCCCCCTCCCCCGCTGCGGGGAGCAGGGTCCCGAGGCCGGGGTGTGTCTACAAGCGTTCAGTCGGGCCTGGTCCCCTTACATGGGGATTTTCGACGAAAAGTAAAGAATACCCCAGAAATAGCCAAAAGATAGTCCAAACATAGTCTGGGGACTATTTTTGTTGAGTAGTTTCTTACCTTTTTGGGGTATTTGTTGGGCTTTTTTATTATTCCTCGAAAATCCCCCCGTATGGGGGACACGCCCGACATAACACAAGCGCCGCCTGGCGGATCGAGCCTCCCTGGCGTCCGGGGGCTGGCTGCGTTTTTTTTTTCACGCCGCGCGTGCTTGTCCGGCTTCGGGCCCAAGGATCCTCACGCATCGATCTGGCTCGAGGGATGCCGCAGAAAGAGGCGGTCGAGGGGCCCAGGCACGATTGTTCGCTAACCCCTAGCTGCGGATAATAAGCCCTAAGGGATAATAAAGTTCGGGGTTTTCGGGGGGATAATAAAAGTTGCCCGCCAGAGCCAGCATGAAGAGATATCAAGAGAAAAAAGCCAGAGATATCTTGAGGATTGTCTCGGTTGAGACATCCTCAACGAATTGCTTGTTTCGCTTGAGACATCCTCGAAATATATGTCTGTTTCGCTTGAGACATCTTTGAGGGAGGAGGAGGAGGAGAAAGAGCAAGAGGAGGAGAGGAGAAGGAGATAGCAAAAATTCAAAGTTTAAAACTTATTGGACTTAAATTGTAAACGCTTGATGAAAATTAAATGTTCATCTGCTTGTTTAGGGTAGCTCACGTGCCTCATTTTCCCAGGATGATCAACCCCAGCGATAAACAAGTTCAGGGCGCCAGAGGGAGGAGGAGGAGAAAGAGATAGAGAGACAGAGAGAGAGAGAGAGACAGAGAAAGAAAGAAAGAGAGACAGAAATAACTACACAGAGACAGAAGGACATTGGTTTCGCTTGAGACATCCTGAAACAACGTGTTCGCTTCACTTGATGTTGTTATCTCAACATAAGAAGGAAGTAACCGCGATGGCGAACTTTTCCCGTGATAATGAAGTTCGGCCTCCGCGCCCCCGCGCCCCCGACCAAACTCTTATTGGTCGACGATACAAAAAATAACGACTTAAGGGGGGTACATTATTATCCTGGGCATGGGGTTATGCTGCACTGGTTGGGCAACCTCGGATCTCATGGTTCTGGAGCTCTGGGAGGCTATGGATATGGATGTGCTCGGCCCCCATGTGGCCAAAGTATATCCATATCCCCCGCCCGCTGGGGTCCCTGGTCGCCGGTTCCCCAGGTGGTGGATATGGATGCAGTCTTGCCTCGCACACAATTTGTATCAGTATCGCGGCGACTGGAGGACCCCACCAGCATTTCACTGTTGAAGGCGCGCAGTGCGTTTGCATAAGAAAGGCGAATGAGTAACGCGCATCTATCGGAAGACCACGCGCGTGTCATTGATACTCCTTACCATCCGTTATGGCCCCCCTTTTCCTCCCAGAGGAGGGTCCAGGCATCTGGCGGCTTGCAAAGTTCGAGGCTGGTGATTGCCCGCCCTGCGGAGCCTCTAGAGGCTGGTGTCGGGCAATCGAGAGGTCCAGCAACACACGGTTAATTATAGAACAGACATCGAGCTTCCGGTTGTCTGGGACGGAGGGGGGCGGCCGAGGAAGATGATCTTTGTGTTTTTCGCCCTTTTGTGGCCTCCTGGAGGGCCCTCGTCGCCGCAGCTGGATTCGCCACGAAATCCTGGTCGGGTATCGTTCCAGGAGTGGTCGGACACTGGACTTTGAGCGTCAGGCAGAAGCAGAGAGGAAACATTGCCACCGCCGATTCCGACATCTTGGGGGCCAGGAGCCCTGTTCGTGCCTTGACTCGCGCAAAGGGAATTTGGTCGAGGGGAAGGGGTCTTGGTCGAGGGCTCTGGGGGGCCTGCGCCGCGGGGGGGCGGGGAACACGACGTCGCCGGATGCAGGCATGCGGTGTTCGGCCTTTTTGCAAGACGCGGGCCCCCCTCTCCCCCCCTCCCCCCCCCTCCTCCTCCTCCTCCTCCTCCTCTGCCACCTCCTCCTCCTCCTCCTCTTCCTCCTCCTCCTCCTCCTCCTCCTCCTCCTCCTCCTCCTCCTCCCTCCCTCCCCCTATCCCTCCTCCCCCTCCTCCTACTCCTCCTCCTCCTCGTCCTCCTCATCCCTCCTCCTCCTCCTCCTCCTCTTCTCCTTCTCCTCCTCCTCCTCCTTCTCCTCCTCCTCCTCCTTCCCTCCTCCTCCTCCCCCTCCTCCTCCTCCTCCTCCTCCTCCTCCCCCTCCCCAGCGACCTCTCGACGCCTTCCTCGAGGCTGGCTCGTCGTCCTGAGCTGTTTCTCTCGACGGCCTCCCGAAGCCCGAAGCTGGCTTCCCGAGGCCCCGACGTTGAAGAACAAAAACACAAGCCGTCTCGATCCTTCCGAGCTGCCGGAGGTCCTGGAAGGCCTGGGCTGCCGATCTCCTTGCAGGGCGTCGCTCGGAACTCCGCCGAGCGAGGCAGTCCCTGAGATCCTGGCGACTCAACTTTTTCGAGTCGGGCATTTTCGCACAATTTCGGGCCCCGGGACCCTCACAGATCGATCCGACCCGAAAAATGACGCAGATTGATGGAGTCCAGGGGTCTGGTCGCGATTTTTTGGGATGTTGCATTTTTTTCGCAACGTTGGATCTCAGGGTCAAGCAGTGTCGAAGCGTCCTGGCGTGCCTATTGGCCTATCAAGCAATGTTCTAAGAACATATGTTTCTGTTTCTAGAACATTTGTGGGTTCGAAGAACATGTCGTGGTAGGCAAATGCCAGGACGGTCAGTCCCTGCTCGACAGGGGTTGATCGCGGGTGTGTCGGATCCGCAGAGTGTTCTGGTCACCCGCTGGGGGGTCGTCACGCGAGTCCAGGTCGTCCAAATGAGGTCCGAGTTCGGGTCGCGCCACACAGCGGGGCACGTCGGCGAAGCGCCAGGTCTTCCCATCGTCGTCGCCGAACAGCGTTCACGCGCAATCCGCGCCCGCGAGCAACGACCGTGGCGCTGCAGGTTGCAGTCGCCGGAGGTGGCTCTGGGCCACCCAAGCGAAGTTCGAACTAAAGGGAACTATCAGGACGACGAGAAAACGTCTCCGACGCATCGGCGATGCGTCCTAATCTTTTGGCCCTATCTGCTCGGACCCCGCTTCGGGGGCCTCCGAAGGTAGTCGTGCCGTTCACATCGCGCGGCGCGATGCGCGATGATCGGTAATCTGGGTCACAGACGTCATCGCAGTTGCAGTCGCGAAGAACGAAGCTCCTGGTTCACCCACCCCTCCAGGATGAGGAGCGAGGAGGAGGAGGAGGAGGAGGAACAGTGCGGCAAGAAAGGTCGGTACGGGTTCGAGTGATTTTGCGCAGAACATGCAAGAAAGTGTGGAAAACCCTTCCGAGACTGTGCCTGGCGCGACTTCGCGCCGCCGGAAGCAATAAACGCCAGCACCTGGGCAGACGCCACTGGCACGCCCGGACAGAAGCCGTGGGCCACCGAGGCACCCCACGACGCACGCGCTCCCTGCCGCACCCGAAACGATGCCAGGACCTTCAGCCAGGCGGCGGACCTGGCGGAAGGTTGAACCGATCAAGCCCTCGCGGCGGAGGTGCTGCTCGAGTGTTTTTGTTTCTGGCTTGTGGTCATCCGTCCTTGCGAGACTTCGGGGGGTGGGGGGCTGTCTAGTTATCTATTCCCTTCTCTTCGGTAGGCTCTTGGGCTCATCCGAACCCGTAGCGTCAGCAATCGCACGCGCGCGTGCGAACAGCAAGTCAAGGTGCTTGCACAGGCCTCCTCGCGACGGAGGTTCCGTGCTTCGTGCCGCGAAAATAAAAAAAAAACCGCCCGACGGGGGTGCCCCTGGAGGGGCTTGGTCCGGCACGAAGCAAGCGGATTTAGAGGGAGATGGTTCGTGAGTTTTGTGTGTCCGTTTTCGCGCGCCCGGGGGCTTCTGCATGCAGAACTCAGCTCAGGACGAGGAGTGGGTCCTGTGTGCGAGGCCCCCAGGACCCGTCTCCTCCATGCCAAGTGGTGGCCCAGAGGGTGTCTGTGGATCGACGGCGAGCGAGGGTGGGAAATGAGAAGGAGATGGCCTTCTCAGAAGGCGGCGGGACTTCTCAGAAGCCCTCGCGTATTCTGAGAAGTTTCCGGCGTCTCTGGGGAAGGCTGAAAGCCCTTCTCAGAAGGCCGGGGGACTTCCAAGCCTTTGAGGGGCCCGGCCCCTTCTCTCTTCCCCCCCGGGCTCGCCGCCGAGTGGAGGCCTCCCCCCCCCCCCCCCGATCTTGCGAGAGGTCCTTGTGGAACCTGCACAACGAGTGCGACTCCCGCTTCGACGGGGCCGCCGCCTCGCTGTTCATGCGCTACCTTGAGGAGACTGGGGAGCGGGAGGGGGCCCAGGGCCAGGGGGCAGGCAGAGGGCCGGGGGCGAGGGCCCACGAGAGTTCTTGTTCTGGGATGTGTCGCAGGCTCCCGGAGGTGTCCTCGCCTTGCTTGGCTTCGATCGGACGCGTTGCCTGTTACAGAGGAGACCCATGCCGAAAAACACCCTGCCTGCCTGCCTGCCGAGAAACACCCTGGCTTGCTTGGGTTTGGATAGCTTTGCGATGCTATGGAAAGCGTGACGGCCCCACACCAAAAGTCAATGAACGTCCTCTGGGGTCTCAGGTATGGGTTTCTCGTGGAAGGCTTCTTGTGGTCGAGCTCCGGCTGTATGTCGGCGAGGACCATCGAGGAGCATGTTGGGCCATGTTGAGCGACAAATGCACGAGGAAAGGACGTCCGAGTGATGGCAAGCTCGGGATTCTTGCCAGCAGCGGCGCCCCGCCGAGATCTGTCGGGGAGTGCACAGCTCGTCCCGAGCGGCCGCGGGAGGCCCGCGCTGTGACCCGGGAGCCGGGCGTGCACACGGGAAAAGCCGAGCGTGCTGTATAGACTTTCTCCCTCCCCCCATACTCCCGCCCCCTCCCGCCTCCTTTCTCCCCTCCCCCTTCCTCCCTCTTCCCATGCCCACCTGTGAGGAGTGGACTTGGCGCGGGAGGATGTGCTGCAGCATCGCTGATGCATCATGAGCTCAATTGGGTCCTCTTCACCCGAATCCCTCCCCCACCCCCTCCTCCTCCTCCCTCCTCCCTCTTCCCATGTCCACCTATGAGGAGTGGGCCAGGCACGGGAGGGTGTGCTTCAGCATCGTTGATGATGCATCCTGAGTTTCATCTGGTCCTCTTCCCTCCCCCCTAGTCCCTCCCCCCCGACCTCCCATCTCCCCTTCTCCTCCCTTCCCTGATTTCCGACGTTGCAGCAAAAAATGCAACATCGCCAATTATGCTAACGGAGTTCCCCACATGAAGATATTAACGGTTTCGTGGGACCCATGGGGTACGACAACATCAACACGAAGGAGAAGCTCATCGAACGAGTAAGAACGCACGAAAGGGCAGACGAAAGAAAGGAGGAGGGAGGACAGGTGCTCAGGAAACGAAGCCTTGTAAATAGTACGGTTTCTTGATGCCCTCCTCGCTCTGGCGGGGCCCCGCTGGAAGGGGGGAGGGCTACGCAACCTGGAAAAGAGTAATGCTTTTTGCGACCCTTCTCGTTCAAGCGCGGCCTCTCTGGAGGAGTGGAGGGGGGACACGAAATGGTTTCGTGGGGGGGGGCACGAAACCATTTTAATAGTGTGGTTTCCGATACCCTCCTCGCTCAGACGGGGCCTCCTTTGAGGGGTGGGAGGGGCACGGATAGCATGAGTTCCCGATACCCTCCTCGCTCAGGCGTGGCCTCCCTGGAGGGGTGGGAGGGGCACGAAACCATGTAAATAGTATGGTGTCCGATACCCTCCTCGCTCAGGCGGGGCCTCCCTGGAGAGGTGAGAAGGGCACGAAACCATGTAAATAGTATGGGTTTCCGATACCCTCCTCGCTCAGGCGGGGCCTCCCTGGAGGGGTGGGAGGGGCACGAAACCATGTAAATAGTATTGGTTTCCGATACCCTCCTCGCTCAGGCGGGGCCTCCCTGGAGGGTGGGAGGGGCACGAAACCATGTAAATAGTATTGGTTTCCGATGCCCTCCTCGCTCAGGTTGGGCCTCCCTGGAGGGGTGGGAGGGGCACGAAACCATGTAAATAGTACGGGTTTCTGATACCCTCCTCGCTCAGGCGTGGCCTCCCCGGAGGGGAGGGAGGGGCACGAAACCATGTAAATAGTACGGGTTTCCGATATCCTCCTCGCTCAGACGGGGCTTCCCTGGAAGGGGAGGGAGGGGCACGAAGCCACGTAAATAGTAATGCAACGTCGCCAAAAATCACGACCGGACCCCTGGACCTCATCATTCCATGCTGTTTTCCGAGCCGGATCGATCTGTGAGGGTCCCGGGCCCGACATGGAGGGAAAATGCCCGGCTCGGAGAGATGGAGTCGCCATGATCTCAGGGCCCCCCCCTCCACCTCCCTTCTCCCCCCCTACTCCCTCTGACATCTTCCGTTCCCAGACGTTTCCGACCATCCTCACATCTTCTCATCCGCGGCCCCCCCGCCGGCCCCAACACCACTTCCTCGGCTGGGCCCCCCCGCGGGTGAGCCGACGTGACTGAAATGCATCCGTCGACACCTCGGGTGGACCTCCCTCCGTCCCCCACCTGAATTGCGGGCTGCGCAGAAGAAAACACGCCACAAACATAAACCTTTGGCGCTCCGCGCGGGTTTCTTGGATCCGCGCTGGGCCCCCCCTTGGCGGCGCCTCTGGCGCCGCCCCTGGCGCGCTCCGCGCGCCAGGGAGGGGGATCCAGTGCAGATCCAAGAATCCGCGCGGAGCGCCAAACGTTTATGTTTATGGCGTGTTTTCATCTTCTAGGGCTGCCCATCTCCCCGCTGTGGTTTTTTGTTTTCCGGGGAAGGTGCAATTTTCCAATGGGGAAGGCACCACGTGCATGCCGAGTCTTCGAGGGACAAACAACTCCCCACTTCGCTGGATGTTCTTCGAGGAACAAACGAACGAGGGCATGAACTTGTGGAGATCCGCTCGAATTTCTTGGATCGGCGCTGGACCCGCCTCCCTGGCGCGCTCCGCCCGCCAGCGGCGGCGCTGGAGGCGCCGCCAGGGGGACCCAGCGCATGCTCAAACCAGTTACGAGGTGACTTGGTAATTACCTGACGAGTGACTTGGGCTTTGCGGTACCACAAAAAACTATCAGCACGCCAGGGGGTAAAATGTAACCGCGCAGGCGCACATGTAACCGCGCAGGCTCGGTCAAGTCAGCCTGCCGGGTGTTTGGGACCCCGTTGCCCTTACCCCCCCCCCTCGACCGTTGGTTGCCCCCGCGTGAGAGATTCGATGCTCTGGTATTTACCTAACAGCGAAGACTGATAGGTTTCTAGTAGTGTCAAAAGAGAGCATCTTGACTCCCCAGGGGGGTCTGGGCGGGTGCCGGGGAGAAGCCGCGGAAGTCGTTTTAAGCAAACAGTTACACAGTTCGTGGTCTTCGAGGTCCCAGAACTCCATTCCTGGGCATGATTTAGAATGCCCAGAGCCAACTGTAGGCCACTTCGTGGTCTTCGAGTTCCCAGAACTCCAGCATGATTTTGAATGCCCGGAGCCAACTGTAGGCCACTTCGTGGTCTTCGAGTTCCCAAAATTCCACTCCTAGGCATGATTGTGAATGCCCGGAGCCAACTGTAGACCACTTCGTGTTCTTCGAGTTCCCAATGCTTTATTCCCGGGCCACATTTTGAATGCTGAGGCAGGCTGAGGCTGAGGCTGAGGCAGGCTGAGGCTGAGGCCGAGGCCGAAGGCAGACTGAGGCTGAGGCTGAAGGCGGACTGAGGCTGAGGCTGAAGCAGGCTGAGGCTGAGGCAGACTGAGGCTGAGCTGAGTCTGAGGCAGGCTGATGAGGCAGGCTGAGGCTGAGGCTGTGACTGCGACTGCCGTTGCCACTGCGATTGTCATCGCGAATGCGACAACGACTGCGAGAACAGCAGAATTCTACAACTGGATTATCATCTGAATCTTAAGGGGAATGCTTCCAGATATGCTCCTACACATCGCTGTTAGATTGCTTTGCCGGGATAATTTTCAACATGGGGTCCCCGGAAGCCCCACTCTTTGCCCATGGCAGGGCTGGCCTCTTATTCTCCTGCACGGTTGCGCCCCGGAGCTCGGAGTGCTTGGTTTTCGTGGCTCGTGGTTCGTCGTCCGCAACCCATTCCCCTGGCCCATCCCCTGCCATCCTTGGCGGGTCCCCCCCCCTGGCCGTCCACCTGTCCCTGGCCGTTGCCCCCCTCGGGTTCTCCTGTCCCGCGCCGCTCCCTTGTTCAAGAGTAAGGGCACGCGTGCCACTAGTCCCGAGTCGCTCCTTGACGGCCCTGGGGCTTGGCGAGGCCTCCCAGAGTCTGAAGTGGCCAAATGCCTTCCGTCGTGATCTCCGTCCTCGGATGGCCCCAGTGCGAGGCCGAACGTCGAAGGAGGGCCACTTGCGAGACAGCGCCGGCTGCCCCAAGCCCACCCAATTCCGCTCAAGACCAGTCCCCTTGGACGATCAAGAAATTCCAGTGTGAAAATCAACTGTAATTAAACAAACAATACAGACGCTCAAGTTGCATATAAACTCTAGTGTAAATAAACAACAACACATGAGTGTTTGCATCGCACTTGATTTGTTATATTACACTTGAGCTTTTGTTTGCTGCAAAGTTACTTGCATCACTCTCCGGCTCCACCCTCCTGACCCCGTGCTCGAGGCGGATCCAGCCGCGGCGACGCGAGCCCCCGGGACGCTCAAAAGACGGCCGAGCAGCGCCCAGGGGCGCTGCAATGGTTCACCTCCCCCCGGATGGTGGAGCCCTTCTCCCGCGCTGCTCTTCGCAACGCGTTACAAGCGCCCCAGTGCGGCGCCGTCCTCGGGCAAGCAGCATCAGGGCCCTCCTTCTTCCCGGGGCCGAAGCCTGCCCGCAAATCTCTTCGTCGTCGCGACGAGGGGATTCGGCGAGGGCTCCGGGAGGCAGAAAAACAGCAGGGAAGACAAGCAGTGCGTTGATTTTCGCGGCGCGCTGGAGGCAATTCTTGGGTTCTGCCAGTGCCCGCCGCCGCGAACACCCTCATCCAGGTCGTCGTCGTCGTCGTGCTCGTCGGTCGTCGTCGTCGTCGTCGTCGTCGTCGTCGTCGTCGTCGTCGTCGTCGTCGTCATGGTCGTATCGTCGTATCGTCGTGGTCGTCGTATCGTCGTGGTCGTCGTATCGTCGTCCTCGTCCTCGTCCTCGTCCTCGTCCTCATCCTCCTCGTCTTCGTCCTCCTCTCCCTCGTCGTCTCCCCCATTCGGGCGGCGCGAGAGCGCGAGGCTCTCCGCGCTCCGCGCGGCGCGACGCGCGAACATAGCTGCCCTTCAGGATCGGCGTCGCACCGACATCGCGCGCACCGAGGGAATCTTGTGGTCTACGCCCCGTGGCGGGCGCTCTCTGGCCATACCGCTCGAGAAACCATTTACTACAAGATGGTTATACTATCTGCTCGGGTCGGACGCGCGCCTCCAGGAGGAGGAGGAAAATAATTATAATGTCTCTCTGCGTCCCATGAGGAGGCCGAAAACTGCCAAACATCTCTGCGCCGATCTGTTGCGACGCGCTGGAGGTCTTGGCCCTGCAGCGTGCCCGCCGCGGGTGTTCCGGGCCCGCCGCAGGACCACACCGGCTTCTCCGAGCTGGGGCCGGCGGGTTTCGAGGCTAAGCGGCGGCTCTACGAGGCCCCCCCCATTTCATCGAGGATACGAGGATCCCTAACCCTAATAACATTGTGAATACGTGGCTTCACTGAGGTCCCCGTCTTTGCATTGGTGAGAATAATTTTGGGTCGCTTGTTTTGATACATCTGCAGAGCAGGCCCCTTATTCCCAACCATCCTGTGGTGTTGGGTCCTCGTTTTGAAGAGGCGGCGCCCCGCGTTCCTCACCTCCTCCTCCTCCCCCCCCCTCCCTCCTCCCATCATCATCATCATCATCATCATCATCATCATCATCATCATCATCATCATCATCATCATCATCATCATCAGCATCAGCAGCATCAGCATCAGCATCAGCATCATCATCATCATCATCATCATCATCATCATCATCATCATCATCACCACCCATTTCGGCACACCCCTCACACGTTTCGTGGCCCCATAGGGAGCTCCACCGAAGGCCCCAGTGGCATGGTTCGCATGCCTCCCCCACACCACCCATTTCGGCACACCTCACACGTTTCGTGGCCCCATAGGGAGCTCCACCGAAGGCCCCAGTGGCAGGGTTCTTTCGTGGCCCCATAGGAGCTCCACCGAAGGCCCCAGTGGCAGGGTCGCATGCCTCCCCAACACCCATTTCGGCACACCCTCACACTTTCGTGGCCCCATAGGGAGCTCCACCGAAGGCCCCAGTGGCAGGGTTCGCATGCCTCCCCACCACCCATTTCGGCACACCCCTCACACGTTTCGTGGCCCCATAGGGAGCTCCACCGAAGGCCCCAGTGGCAGGGTTCGCATGCCTCCCCACCACCCATTTCGGCACACCCCTCACACGTTTCGTGGCCCCATAGGGAGCTCCACCGAAGGCCCCAGTGGCAGGGTCCGCATGCCTCCCCACCACCCATTTCGGCACACCCCTCACACGTTTCGTGGCCCCATAGGGAGCTCCACCGAAGGCCCCAGTGGCAGGGTCCGCATGCCTCCCCACCACCCATTTCGGCACACCCCTCACACGTTTCGTGGCCCCATAGGGAGCTCCACCGAAGGCCCCAGTGGCAGGGTCGCATGCCTCCCCACCACCCATTTCGGCACACCCCTCACACGTTTCGTGGCCCCATAGGGAGCTCCACCGAAGGCCCCAGTGGCAGGGTTCGCATGCCTCCCCACCACCCATTTCGGCACACCCCTCACACGTTTCGTGGCCCCATAGGGAGCTCCACCGAAGGCCCCAGTGGCAGGGTTCGCATGCCTCCCCACACCCATTTCGGCACATCCCTCACACGTTTCGTGGCCCCATGGGGAAGGCCCCAGTGACTGGGTTCGCATGCGCCCCCACACCCATTTCGGCACACCCCTCACACGTTTCGTGGCCCATAGGGAGCTCCACCGAAGGCCCCAGTGGCTGCGTTCGCATGCCGCCCCCACACCCATTTCGGCACACCCCTCACACGTTTCGTGGCCCCACAGGGAGCTCCACCGAAGGCCCCAGTGGCTGCGTTCGCATGCCGCCCCCACACCAACTTCGGCACACCCCTCACACGTTTCGTGGCCCCATAAGGAGCTCCACCGAAGGCCCCAGTGGCAACGTTCGCATGCCGCCCCCACACCCATTTCGGCACACCCCTCAAACGGTTCGTGGCCCCATAGGGAGATCCACCGAAGACGGTACTCACACCAGCATTACTCACAACTGCATATGGTTGGGTCCTTCGCCAAGCTAATTCGTAATGTTTTTGGCCTCCTAACTGAGGTCGCCTCCTTCCAAAGGATCGGGAGCCCTTTTACTGCTACTCACCGCTGGGCGCCTGGAGAAAATGCATAATCCACGGATAATATCTAGCCAGCCTCGAGCCCACCCCTATCCCTGAGATGATCCCTATCCCAAGGCAATGACAGTCTCGGGGGGTCGGTGGGGGGGGGCAGGGCCAGGAAACATCATCTCAATAATCACGAGGCGGTGGGGCGGGCTCCAGGGCATAGTGCGGAGACACGGTGCAGTGCGTAGAGTAGATCTAGGAGGGCCCTCCCGCGGGAGAGGTTAAGCATCAGTCAGATGTACAATGACGAATGCCGAAGTTAAGCGCGCGCGCGAAGTGTGAGGATGCCGCTTCAGGCTCCAAGGCATGCGAGACTTTCCACCTCGGCTAAGCAGGCGTTGCTTTGGGACCCGCTGTGGAGAAGTATGACTGCGCCAGCGCTTGCATGGGTGCACGCAGTGTGGAAAGCGAAGACGCGACCTTAGCATGCCCTGTTCTCGACGCAGGATTTGTGCATCATGTGGCACAGCGTGGTACCTTGAGAAGACACGTGGGCTCAAAGTAAAGGACCCATGCGCAGGACTCACCTCTCGCTTGAGAGGATTCGGTGGGAAGCTTTTTCCCCGCTGGAGTGATGCGATGCCAATGGCGTGGAGATACCATTGCTGTATGCCGCGCCCTCGATGGCGGCTCAGCGGGCCAGGGTGAGGGTTCAGAGGCACCATCCGGGGGTCCCGGGGAGCAGGCTTGGTTAGGAGCCTGGTGCCAGGGTGTGCGCGGAGCCGATCAGGGGGATTACCAAGGGGGGGGGGCAAAGGCACGAGGCACGGGGCTCCATGCCCAAGAGAAGCATTTGGTGATGCAGTCTTGCTGTGAGGGCTCGTGGACGGAGGACCGGGCCCAGAGGCAGGGCCACTTCGCGTGAGGTTTGTGCCCACCCGCTGGCCCGAGAGCCTCAGGCTCGGTAGATCATGGGGCGCGCGGGCGGCCGCATGCGGACGTCAAGGCCAGTAGAATTGTTGGCGCTTCGCGAATCCCAACCAGCCCATCCAGAAACGATGCCCAGGGAAGTTGAGGTGATCAGGGAAGTGGGGGAGCATGCAGAAGAACAAAGGACGGGGGAAGGGGGAAGCCGTCCGATGCCCCAAGAGGGGAAGGATGGTGGAGGAGAAGGAGGAGGAGGAGGAGAAGGATGAGGAGGACGAAGAGGAGGAAGGAGGAAGAGATAGTGGACAAGGAGGAGGAGGAGGATGAGGAGGAGGAGGAGGAGGAGGAGGAGGAGGGGCAGAAGGGACATCTTGGGGGTCTCTTGGGAGCTTCTTCGAGGCTTCCTGGACGCCTCTCGGGGCCGTCTGGGCGCCTCTTGGGAACCTATTGGGGCGCTCTTGGGAGCCTTAGGGACGCTCTTGGAGCCTTCTTGGAGGCGTTCTCTAATTCGCCCCCCCCCCCCCCCCCCCTTGGGAGCCCCAAAAGTCGCCTCTTGGGGCGCTCTTGGGGCTCTCTTGGGTCTCTTCTGGGGCCCTCTTGGGCCGTCTTGGAGCCATCTTGAGGCCTCGGATGGCCATCGGAAGCGAAACGGCGAGAAGGCAACAACAACATTGCTTTCCCCTAGGTTCTGGAAGGATTTTGACTTCTTGGGGGCCTCCTTGGGGGTCACGGATGCGTCTAGGAGCCGCCTTGGCGCGTTCGCGTTCTTGGGGTCTCTTGCATCGTCGGCTCTCTGAGGCCCTTTTGGAGCCATCTTGGGCGACAAGTGCGCTCTGACACCTCGATGGGCGCCCCGTTCGGGTCCAGGGGGGAGGCTGGGAGGGGGGGTCCAGACACCCTCCAGATAGCAAGCCGTCTAGCTAACTCCCACCCGCCCTCCCAACAGCTCAGCATGTTCCGCGGTCATCTTTTGATGGACGGCTTCTGGGAACCAAAACCGAGCCCATGTGCGCGACACTGGGGCGAGGTGCGCCACGCGTGCCAGGCGCGCCACGCGCGCCAGGTACCCCTGTGGCCCGAGCGTGCCAGGCACGCCAAGTGCGCCAGATGCTCCTTCCAGCCGCGCCAGGTGCGCCACGTCCGGGGACCGTGCACAGTGTATCAGGTGCGCCTGCGCACGTGACAGCACACATCTGGAAACATGTCGACCCCCACCATCCCTGTCGACAACCAATGCCGCATCAATGCCCATCATTGTGTCTGGTGGGCCTGCGTAGGCCATACGCCACCACCCCCGCCGTCCCTGACAAAAAGCACTTGATAATGATCAGGGGGTGGCCGCGCACTATCCACATTTAGCCGCGAGGTGCATTGTGTATTGTGTGTCCATCAGGGATGGTGGCCCTGCGCGCAGCAGGCAATATGCTGACACCCCCACCGTCCCTGTCGAGAAACAATACAAAGTGCCCGCGGGCCTCACGGACATAACTGCAGACTTTGCCCAACAGTGAATAGTGCATTGGTTTTTAAACAGGGATGGTGGGGGGGGCGCATCGGGTTGTTTGCACATGCTACGGCTTTCGAGGCTGATTGTGTTTTGTATTGCTTTTTTGACGGATGGTGGGGGTGGGTCATGGTGTGCACATGGTTCCGGGTTGGTTGCCGGCCAGGTGGGGGAGGGGGGCGGTTATTAATAAGGAGCAGTGATAAACATTTCCCAGAAGGGGAAGAAGGGGGTTGGAAGAGGAGCCTCCCTAGACAACCGTCGCCCAGAGAGTTGGTGGGATTTCAGCGATTGCGCCCGACACGTTCTTTGAGAATGCGAGGGGCGGGGGGTCAGAGAAGGAAGAGCTACCCATACCGCTACACTTCCTCCATTTTCCCGTTTTGGGGGCCTCTTGTGGGGCCCTCGCGACACCGTTGGATTCGCCTCGCAATCTTGGTCAGAACGCACACCAGGATTGGTCCGCTGAGCAGCGGTATCTGTACCTTTTGGTCTCCCCAGAGGGGGGGGCAGTTCTACTAGGCGCTCAAGCTCCGACACCCTGCTGCTGAATGGCGCCGTGTGTCAGACGAGCATGAGCCTGTATCGTGTGAGATGTACGGGGGTACAGTCCTATGTAAGGAGCTTGATGGTTCGGGGCTTTCTCAGGCGGGTGACGGGTCGCGTGCCAGACACGCGATAAACGAGTTATCCCGTGCAGCGTGCGCGTGAGTGTTTTTTGACGGTCCAGGGGGGCAAAGGTAGAGTGCCCGCGGAGTTGCATGGCTGAGCTTGCCACATGCGAGTCAAGCTGCGGAGCCCTTGCCGTTGGCCCTATTGCTGGTGTTTTGTGCCCATATTCGGAGCAGCAGTTACAGTGTCTGTATGCGTGCTGTGAAGCTACACAGTACGAGCCCACGTGAACAATTTTCATCCAGGCAGCGTCATGGGGGATTGAGAAATGGTGTCTGATTGCATGTGCGTAATAATATGTATCCCCCAGCTTTTCACACCCCTGCCCATAGGCAGCATGACGATATAGCTATGCTGCCAATCCCCGAGAGGTGGACAGGCTCAGGCAAGCTTGCGGGCGGACCTCGAGACAAAAGGAGCTCTCGGATTCCATCCCGGTGCCTCGGAGTGGCGGCACCGAGGGTGCAGAAACCGAGGCGTGAGCGACCTCGTAAGCTCGTGGCCGAAACGACTGACTGGTATGTCTGGAGCCCTTGACTGTGGGCCCACACATCTGTCAGCTGCCTTTCTATTTAGGAGGGCGTACCCAGGACAGACCCGAGGTGCGCTGTAGAGGTCTCCCCACACGTGTGTGCACGCTGCTGGCCGATGCCCCATGTAGCGGGCACGGGCTAAGGAGTACCCTGGTCGGCGATGAGGAGTTGCCGTTGTTTTTCTGCATGGTGTGAGGCAGCTGCACACGGGAGAGCATCCGCACAGCAGAGTGCAGACACGAAGTGCACGGTGGAGGTGCGCATGCCCCGTCTGCGCGGGCGGCCCCATCGGAGCGTTCTGCTGCCACCCGTGCTGGATTGCCGAGAATTTCAGGGCAGCAGGCCTACAGTCGGGGCGCTGAAGAAGGAACCCTGTTCGTTGGGGAGGGGCTCGGTGTTCCTCGATTGCTTCACAGTTTGCCTCGGGTTTCCCTGATGTTTCCCATGGGGAATCGGAGTTTAACTTACCATAAAAAAGGACTTCGTTCCTTATCTAGGGTTCCTTAGGTCAACGCCCCGACTGTAGAGTGGCCGTTGGTTTTTCGAGCTGGTTCGGCCGCAGGTAGCCCCGAACAGATACACTGGATCCTGACTCCTGGCGGCACTCGTCTACAGGATTCCGCAGGCCTCCTTCTACTCGTGTCCCTCGCCGCCCTCATCCCGGGGAGCAAAAAAGCAGTATGCATGACACGCCGCCGTGGGAACCCATCAGCGTGCTTCTGTCGAAGAAACACCGGGCCAAGCATCAGGCCGTCGGACACAACGAAGGAGTAGCACGCTGATGGGCGACCAGCGGCAGCACGTCATCGATACTCCTGCTCCCTCCCGATCCTCGTCCTCCCTTCGAGTGCGCGCGGGCTTAGTGGGCCCCGGAAGCGGCTGGGCCGTTTTTTCACCGTTTCCGGAAAAACAAATCCCTTGAAAATGGAAACGGCAAAAAACACGGCGACCGGAAACGGCAACAGAAACGGCTCCGGGATTGGAACTGGAGCGGGAACCTGCAAAAGAACGGCGACGGGTCTGGTAAAAAAAGCGGCGTCGGAATTCCGGCAAAAAACGGCAAAATGGAACCGGTAAAAAAACGGCCCTGTCGTTTCCAGGGCCCACTGAGCCACCACCACCACCATATGTTGGAAGGGGGAAGGAGAAGGAGGAGAAGGAGGAGGAGGAGGAGGACGAAGAGGAGGAAGAGGAGGAGGAGGAGGAGGAGGAAGAGGAGGAGGAGGAGGACTCCCCTTCACGGCCCCCTTCCGCGGGCTCGCCCTGGCTCTCGGACGCGAGGGCAGGGACCTCCTCTGGTGGCTCGGGGCTCCCGTCTCCCCGAGCGCTCGCCTTTGGACCTGACCCTTCCCGGACGCCGGTGCCACGCCGCTGCGTGCCAGAGAAAAGGCCTCGCCTGCGAGGGTCGACGGAACTGTCAGCTCTTCCTCGGCGGGAGGCGGCGGAGGCAGAGCAAGGCGCGGGCGGAAGGCCGGCGGAAGCAGGTGGATCCAAAACATGCACCATCAGGAGATGGCAACGTCTTTGGGTTGATCGGACGGGGCTCTGACGACGACGAATCCGCTGCAGGGCGTTCCGGGACGTTCTCAGAGCGTTCCGGGACGCTCTCAGAGCGTTCCGGAACGCTCTGAGAAGGCTGCGACGTCCGATGCACTTCCCAGAGCCGCCACATCTCAGAGATTCTCGATTCATCCTCACCCGAATTCATCCTCGTCGCGGCTTCGTCTCTGAGTCCAGGGCTTCTGGGGCCCGCCGCGTGCCGATCGTTCTCCCTCCCCACCGAGCCCGAGGCCCCCGACTTCAACTGGGACCTGGACGGCCCCGACCTGCCCGCCAGGCCCTACGTGGTCATGGAGCTGGTGCGGGGCGAGACGTGGCCCGGACTCGGCTCAGAAGCCCCCCGAGCGCCTTCGAGGAGGAGGAGGAGGAGGAGGAGGAGGAGGAGGAGGAGGAGGAGGAGGGAGGAGGAGGAGGAGGAGGAGGAGAGGAGGGAGGAGGAGGAGGAGAGCTAGGAAAAGGAGGAGGAGGAGGAGGAGGAGGGAGCAGGGGAGGAGGGAGGAGGAGGTGGAGGAGGAGGAGGAGGAGGAGGAGGAGGAGAGGAGGAGGAGGAGGAGGAGGAGGAGGAGTGATGGGTCCCGAATCGGGCGACGAAATCTACACACTTCACTGCTCCCTGGCCAGGCCCGCCCTGGCCCCCGGAGCTGCGTGTACGCCCTCCCGTCCGAGCCAGGAGGGCGTGGCGTGCACACCGCTGCTGGGTTGCGGATGGACTTGGCCAGGGAGCAGTGGAAGTGTGTAGATTTCGTCGCCCGATTCGGGACCCACTCCTCCTCCTCCTCTCTCCTCCTCCTACTCCTCCTCATCCTCCTCCTCCTCCTCCTCCTCCTCACCTCCTCCTCCTCCCTCCTCCTCCTCCTCCTCCTCCTCCTCCTCCTCCTCCTCCTCCTCCTCCTCCTCCTCCTCCTCCTCCTCCTCCTCCTCCTCCTCCTCCTCCTCCTCCTCCTCCTCCCCCTCCTCCTCCTCCTCCTCCCTCCTCCTCCTCCTCCTCCCCCCCCCCTCCCCCTCCCCCTCCCCCTCCCCCCTCCCCCTCCCCCCTCCCCCCTCCCTCATATGTGTAGATTTTGTCGCCCTACCGAAGGGAAGGATTTTGGAAGGTTTCGTTGGTTCCAGAGTGTAGTCGGGCATGTCTTCTTCAGGGGGGATATCCCAGAATGGTCAAAAAAACAGGCGGATTGACCATTGTTTCGCTATTGTTGATGATGTTTGACTTCGTGCTGTCAATTTCATTGTTTTTTTCCCAGATCCGCCTGTAGGAGGACATGCCCGACCTAATTCCAGAGGGTTTTCCAGCCTCGGGTTGCTCTCCAGCAGCTGCGCATCGCCGTGAGCGTGCCAGGGGTACCCGAAGCGTCCTGAGCGGCCGCCGAATCGACCGGAGGTGAGGCCCGAGAACCACCTGGAACCTGGACCATTCCCACTCCCCACGACGGAAGGTTTTGACGAATTCATCGGGAGTAAACGAACCCCTAGGCCCTAATCCTAACAACACAGAGAAAACGTAGCCTCACTTAGATCCCCGCCTTCGCATTCTTCAAAATCAGTATGGGTGGCTTGATTCGATACATCTACTGAACTATTCCTATATCCCTCATGTGTTGGGCCTCGGAACTTAGGTCCGCCCCCACAGGGTGAGGGGCCCTTGAAATGCGATTCGCTCGCCGAGCCCCTGGACCCCCCAAAGGCGGCTCAGGATGAACAGTTTGCTCGGGGGAAGGGGTCCAGACCTCCGAGAGACCCCTCGTCGGAGCAAAAAGAACACGACCTCGGAGGTGGCTGGCGCTTCCCCCAGCCGTCACGAGCATCGAAGGAAAGGGGCCCCACGAGAGAGACCCTGAGGAGGGGGAATTGGGAGGAGGAGAGGAAGAGGCGGAGGAGGAGGAGGCGGAGGAGGAAGGAGGAGGAGGAGGGAACCTCGGAGCTGTGGCGTGCTCCCAAGCCATCCTCCGCATTGAAGGCAAGGGGCCCCACGAGAGAGACCTCGGGAGGCATTTGTTTTGGGCGTGCTCGGCCCACGGCGGCCGTGCTCCCGGGCCTGCGGCCGTTTGAAAATGAGTCAGGATGATCAGTCTCTCCCAAGCCCCCCCTCCCCCCCGTTGGCCCGACGGGGTCCTGCGGGGCTCGTTTCGATTCTCCCGATTCGATTCGATTCAACTTCGATGGCTTCCGACTCCGATTCGATTCGATTTCGCATTCCGATTTGGACTCCGATTTCTTATGGGAGGCCTACTACCTTGCCGATTTCCGCCGATTCGACTTCTCAGGACTCGGCTGCCGATTTCTGCCGATCCGATCCATTTCGATCGCAGATCCGACGTATCGATTCGATTCTGGTCTCTCCTGGGGTCCTGAGGGAAAGCGGTCCTGGGTTGCCGTTGGCTGTTTTCGGCATGCTCACCAGCGTGCGGGGCAGTCAGGCAGCGGCACGAGTGGAAGACTTGCTCCCAGGGGGGCAGCTTCGAGATCCAGGGCCTGGTTCCGCCAGGGCCCGTCTCCCTGATGGCCACATCGGGCAACACGTTTTGGCACAAGGTCCACTCTGTGTTCGGGAGTCTCGGTGTTTCGGGGCTGCACAGGCCTCCTACCCTGACTCGTCGATTAAGGAATTGGCCGTTCTCGTTTCGCGAGAGGGCGTCGCGGCCGTCATTTTTGCGGCTCCAGGTCCGTCGGTTTCGGTCCCAGGCCATTTTTCACTAAGGGGAGGTCTACTAACGGGAGGTTTGTCCACCGCCGAGTGCTCCTGGGGCCCGTCCATGGGCTTTCTCCTCCGGTCCGGCGCGCCCCGCCCCCCATCCGATTGAGCGCAGAGGCCCCTTCGACGGAGTGACCTCTGGCGCGGGCACCCCGGGGCCAAGTCGGGCATGTCCCTCTGCGGGAGGAAGCTTCAAGCATGGCTAAGAAACGATCAGGGACTTATTTGTCTGTATTTGTTAAGCTATCATTTTCATTTGTCGCCCAACATTCGCTTTTAGGAGGACAAGCCCGACCTAACACTGTGGTCCCATCCCTTCCACCTTGCATCATCTCGGGAGCCGATCGATGGCCACCGCCCCTACCCACGAGCCTTGTGCCGGACCAGCTGGTTTGCGGGGCTGGTGTGCAAACATCATGTCCCCAGGGGATGCCATTGTTGTACAGATATCCCGCTCCGCGGCCTTGCGCCGGACCAGCTTGTGTGTGGGGGTTTACACAAAATTCGCTCCACGCCATCATCCTCACTTCCCTCTTATCCCTCTCCCTTTCCCTTTCCCCTTCCGTCCTGCCCTCCGTTTCCCTCCTACACTGCTCCTCTCCCTTTCCCTCTCCCTTTCCATCCTTCCCTCCTTCTCCGCCCTTCCCTCCTTCCGTCGGTTCTCCCTCTCCCTCTCCATCCTTCCCTCTTCCTCGCCGTTGTCCCAGGCTGCAGACGGTGATCGACCGCGAGCGCGCGTCCCTACCGGCCTCGGAGAAGAGGCAGATCGTCGTCCAGGCCTGGCCGCTGGGGAGGGCCACGGGGCCTCGGAGGTGGATGGCCGCGCATGCTCGCGTCGTGGACACTCGGCCACGCGCCGAGGGGCGCAGGGGGGCGGGGGAAGGCTTCCTGGAAGCGCCCCCTGGTTCCTGGAAGGCGCGGGCCGTGTCTGCAGATGTCAGGCCAGCGCCTTGTAAGGAACGGCCCCCTTCACCCTTGTGCGCGCCGCCAAGACCAACAGCACGACGGGCAGAGTCTGGGCGTTTTGTTCTGTCCGCGGGGTGCCCTCGCAAGGCCCCGGGGACAGTTCGAGAACGACTCGAGTCGGGTATAGCCAGGACCCCGGTCAAGGGGAGCGCCTGTTAGTGACTGGGCCCCGAAGCCCACAATATGGATTGGAATCACTAGACCAGGTCTGCCGTAGCCAGTTCTGTTCGGGTGACGCCAATTCCGGTTAGTGCAATGGGACGGGGGGGGGGCGTCCCCAGTGCAGATCACTAAACCAGGTCCTACTAAACCCAGTCCTGCCATCGCCGATCGGGGTAAGAAGCAGGCCCGGTGGGGGCAGGGTCGGGACTTCGGGGGCCCCGTGCTGAAAGCAAGGGGCGTCGGACGTATGGGCAGCGGGCCTGAGGTGAAGTCTCGGAGGTTGGTGCGCTCGGTCCTCCTGGCCGAGCGTGTCGTGCAGCCGGTGTTGGCCCACCACGCGTCGGTGCGACATGCGAACCACGTGCCGGTCCGGAAACGTCACCGGCTCGAGCTTGTCCCAAGCCCTCCGCGGCGCGGAGCGACACGCTATCAACTTTGAAGGCGTAGCGCGTCGCAGGTGCCACCGCCGCCGGAAGTTCCCCACCGTAGATGCCATCCGCACCCACACGATAGCAAATGTCATTCCTTCTGTTCTCGAAGATGGGAGCCAGAGATGGATGGATGGAGAGATGGGATTGGAATGGAGGGTGGCCTAGGAGAGCGAAGCGGAGGGAAGGGTGTTGAGGGAAGGAGGGAGACGAGAAGGGGAGCGTTCGCCAAGGTCCAGGAGGGAGATGCTGACACTCGATCTTGCCAGGACGCTGGTTTCCCCAGGGAATCTGGGTGAAAAGGCATGAGCTGACAAGCTTGTGACGCCAGCGCGTGGACTCCCAACAGTTGATTCATGCAGCAGTGTGTGTGTGTGTGTGTGCGTGTGTGTGTCGAAGTGTGTTAGTGCGGGACCTCTGCGTGGAGCCCGCTGCGCGGTACCCGATGCGCGCGTGCAGCTCACAGGAGCCCAGAAGAGCCCAATCGGCGGCCAAACAGTTTGGCACACAGTGCCCGCTCCCTCGGAGTCGTCGCTCGTCGACGCGGGCCGCATCGGGTCGCCCTCGGATAAAAATAGAAACGCGGCACCGCCACCAGGGGTGCCACCTCAGGCGAGGAGACCCACAATGCCTTCCCGAGCTGGGGATGAGGGCTGTCTCGAGTGGGGAGGTGGGACCACACCAACGGGAGGACCCCTCCACACCCCAGCTCTTCTTTCTTCCCCTTTCTTCCCTCCGTGATCTTTGGCGTGAGCTGCCGTGCACCAGCGCAGCAAGGCCGTCGAGGGTGGGTGGGGGAGGGTTGAGTAGAGGGAGGGGGGGCGTGTGGAGTAGAGGCTGGACGAGCTTCATCGTGAGTGTCGCCTTCGACCCTTTTTCGTTTGGCGATGACTGAGCCCTCGTTGTCCCTGCTACGACTCGTGCATTCTGTATCACCCAGTATCACCGAGGACCCCCCCCAACTCTGCTGGTGGTGGTGTCAGTTTTCCTTGTTCCTCCGCCCAGCTTTTGGTTCCCCTGGATTCCTTTGAAGACGAGACCGCCCTCAACTCGTTGAGGCATACCCGAAACGATCGACCTGACCGACCATATCCAAATCGAGCTTTATGAGCTCGTCTGAAAGACGATCCAGATGTCGTGTGTCGCGTGGGCCTATCGCCTTTGATCATGCGGTTCGTCTAGCGGTGCCTGTCTTGTGTGTTTGTGTCTCACGGCTTATCTGGAGAATACTGCATGCGGGCGCAATCGGTTCGACCACCGTCAGTCCACCCTCCATTTCACTCTGCGGCGCACCCATGCTGTCGTAATATGCAGTGCTTGAGGGTGGAGTTCTGAATCTTCGGTGCGTTGCGTGGACAAACATCGTTTAGGTATGCTCGAGAGCATTCGCGTATAAGATACCAGAGTACACATCTCACGCATGCCCAACGATCCCGCACGCCCGCATCACGCACGTAGGGCTAACTTGGCCTGTCAGAGTCGGGAAACAGTATTGGCGGCGAGCCTGGGAGGGAAGTGAGAAGGGGCGGGCCTTCTCTAAAGTCTCGGAAGTCCCTCCGGTCCTCTGGGAAGTTTTTTTCCGAAGTTTCCCCCGCGAAAACGGAGAAAGTTTCCCTCAGAAGGCCGGACGGCTTCTGAGAAGCCCCGCCGCCTTCTGCGAACACCCCTCCCTCTCACTTCCCCCCCTCGCTCGCGGGCCGATCACTGATCGAAGGCCTCACGGTCGGTTCCGCCGACCCTGAACGGGCACGACGACGACGACGACGACGACGACGACGACGACGACGACGACGACGACGAGGACGAGGACGAGGACGAGGACGAGGACGAGGACGACGCGCCCCCAGGCAGCGCGCGCGCTGAACTACCTGGCGCGCTTCGGGCTCATCCACCGCGACTTCCGGGGCTGCAACATGCACCTCGTGGGCCGGGAGGGGCAGGGCGAGGGCTGCCGGCTGAAGGCCCGCCCGGCTCCACGAGCCCGCGGGCGCCTCCAGCGCGTCCTGGGCAGGGATTTCCCCCTCCCCAAGCCCCCTCGAGGAAAGCCAAATCACGACGGGAGGTTTTCAATCATTTTCGGCTTCTGGGGGCCCTTACGGGGCCTCGGGGCCGTCAAAGAACGATGCAGAACGAAAAACGGGTCCCGGGGAAGGGGTCCAGACCTTTCTGGGGGTCGACGATGTGAACCAAAATGCCGACGTCGGGGGTTTGGGTCGGAAGTGTCGGTCCCGCCAGAGACGGGAGAGGATCGGACAGGGCCTTACCCTGGAGGGTCGAAGGAGTCGTCATCTCTACCTCAGCGGAGGGTGGCGGAGGGCGGCGGAAGCAGAACGAGGCATCAGCGGAAGGTCCAAGACATGGCAACGCTGTTGGGTTCATCGGACGGGGCCAGGACGAGGATTCATCCGTGCCAGAGCGTTCCGGAGTTCTCTCAGAGCGTTCCAGAACGCTCTGAGCGACGCCCGATACATTTTCCAGAGCCGCCGGATCTCAGAGATTCCCGATTGATCAGCACCCGATGGTATCCTCGTCTTGGCTTCGTCTTAGAGGAAGAGGAGGAGACGGAGGAGGAGGAGGAGGAGGAGGAGGAGGAGGAGGAAGAGGAGGAGGAGGAGGAGGGAGAAGTCGGCGGTTCGGAGGTGGGGTCCTGAGGGATGCTGCCCTGAGGATGACGGTCAGGAGCTTTCGAGTAGCGCGTCGCGCCGCCGGTTCTGGCCCACCACGCTTTGGCGCGACACGCCAAACACTTCCCAGTCCCCAGGCGGCATCGTCCCGAGCACTGCCCAGCCTCCAGGCCCGCCGAGCGGGGCGGCACGCCAGCGGCTCGCAGGGCAAAGCGTGTCGCAGGGGCCGCCGTCGCGGCACGCCAAGCAAGCAGCTGCTTAGAGGGATCCCAGGTTGAGTTGACCTGGCTTCCTCAGGGACCCACCTTTGAGCCGCCGAGAAGGGGGAGGCGATGGACGAGGGCGAGGACGAGGGAGGGATGGGGGGGGGAAGGCGATGGATCTGGAGATGGAGAGGGCGAGGGATGAGGAGGGAGGGAGGGAGGGAGGCGATGGACGAGGGCGAGGAGGTGGACGAAGCCTCATGCCTTGAGCTCGTCAGCTCGTCAGGTGGACGGGGCAGGGAAGGGGCGTAGGTGGACATGGCGGGACACTACGTTTCATGGAGACGGAGGAGGGAGGAGGGAGGAGGAGAGGATGGGCGAGGAGGCGGGAGGGGCAGAAGGAGGCGGACGAGAGGGACGGGGAAGGCGGAGGAGGGGGGGGGGGGGGGGGGGGGGGGGGCCCGCGGGCGCCGCGAGAGGTCCTGGACCTCGGAGTGATGATCTGCGCGGAGGACGGGCAGGCGCAGCCGCCGCCCTGGTCGCGGCCGCGGCCGCTCTGCCAGCGCCGCCTGGCGCGGCCGCGAGGGAGGGGGGAGGGAGAGGCTCGAGAAGGAGGCGGATGGTGGGCGGAGAGAGGAGAGCGGGATGCGGAGGGTCGGGAGGGGCAGGATGTCCGTCATGGGAGGAGGAGGGGGAGGAGGAGGGGGAGGAGGAGGGGAGGAGGAGGAGGGGGAGGAGGAGGAGGAGGAGGAGGAGGAGGAGGAGGAAAATGGCAGAAGGCAGCAGCAGGAGGAAGACGGGGAGAGGAGGAAAGTAGATAAGATGGAGCAGGTGTTTTTTGTTTTCCGCCGGGAGTAATAGGAAGGGGAGAGGAGGAGTGGGAGGAGAGGTGGTGGAGGGGCAGGGGAAGTGGAGGAGGGGGGTAGGAGGTGAATGCGGAGGAGAGGGGAGGAGAGGAGACGAGCTAGGTGAGTTTAGGCCACATCTGGCCCAGGTGCCATCTGAGGCCGTTTCGGAGGCATGCTGGCCTACCCTGGCGTCCGTGGTTGCCTGCCTACGCTGTTTTGGAAGCTATCTTGGGCATTCCGTATGCCAGACAGAGCGTCAGGAAGGCGCTGGGGCGCCCAGAGACCGAGGTGCAATGCACGCAACGAAGTGACGCGAGTGGGGATGGTTCGAATGGTTCAGCAATCCTCCTAGGCAGCATTTGGCATTCCACCACGCCTCAGCGTGCAAGGCGGACCGATACCGGATAGTTCGGCCTATGAAACCCATGATGGATTCTAGGAGGAGGGGGTTGAGAGAGAGCAGGAGGAGGAGGAGGAGAAGGAGGATGAGGAGGAGAGAACGCTCTTAGACTCGCGAGTGGCTTTTCGGACGTGGAAGGAAGGAGGGGGAGGAGGTGGAGGATGATGCGGAGAAGGAGGAGGCGAAAGTGGTGGAAGAGGGAGGACAAGGAGCAGGAGGAGGAGGAGGAGCAGGAGGAGCAGCGGGAGCAGGTGGAGGTATGTATATAGATAGATGTGCACATAGACCTGTATGTGTATATATATAGGGTACGATATATATATATATATATATATATATATATGTATCGGAGGTTGGGGGCTGAGATCGCAGTGAAACGAAGACCCCCCACAGGGAATTCGGTTTCGGTTTCGTGTTCGTGTCGTGCGTGCGGGCGAGGCGAAGCTGCGCATGATCCTCCTGTAGCTAGGCCGAAGTAGGAGCGAAAGTCCGTTCCCGTCCGCCGGTGGCTGGGAGGTGTCCCAGTTGGGCTGGGCGGTGTCCCGGGTGTCCCGGGTGTCAGTAGGAGCGAAAGTCCGTTTCCCGTCCGCCGGTGGCCGGGAGGTGTCCCAGTTGGGCCGGGCGGTTTCCGGGGTGTCTGGGGTGTCAGTAGGAGCGAAAGTAGGAGCGAATAGGTCGGTCGACGGTTATGTAGATAGTGGGATCTCATCGTCATCGCGATCATCATTGTGGTGGAGGGAGGCTCTGATAGAGAGGGAGAGAGAGAGAGAGAGAGAGGGCGCGAGAGAGAGAGAGAGACAGAGAGAGAGAGAGACAGAGAGAAAGAGAGAGATGAGATCAAGGTGGCAGGCTGGAGGTCAGTCATTGTGGGCATTTGATCTCAATCCCCCCGCAACCTCCTCATCGCCCGCAGGGCGGTCGTATAGGTATCGGAGGTTGGGGGTTGAGATCGCAGTGAAACGGAGACTCCCCACCGGGAAATCGGTTTCGGTTTCGTGTTCGTGTCGTGCGTGCGGGCGAGGCGAAGCTGCGCGTGATCCTCCTGCAGCTAGGCCGAAGTGGGAGCGAAAGTCCGTTCCCGTCCGCCGGTGGCTGGGAGGAGTCCTAGTTGGGCTGGGCGGTGTCCCGGGTGTCCCGTGTGTCAGTAGGAGCGAAAGTCCGTTTCCCGTCCGCCGGTGGCCGGGAGGTGTCCCAGTTGGGCCGGGCGGTTTCCCGGGTGTGCCAGGTGTCCCGGGCGTCCCGTCGCTAATGCATGTCGCTAATTTCATAATTCATTTTTTCGGCGCCTACGGCGGGCTTTGTCTGGTGTGTGTAGTATCCTAGTATGCGATGGTTTCGATGGTTTCCCGTGGTTGTCTTGTGATTGTCCTGATGGTTGTCTGGTGGCTGTGCCGATGGTTGTCCTGTGGTTGTCCGACAACAAACCGTTTTTCGGCGCCTGCGGCGGGCATTCTCAGGTTGCTTTTGAGGTCGATATTGAGATCGACAGTGAGATCCACCGATAGGTCGGTCGACGGATAGGTAGATAGTGGGATCACATCGTCATCGCGATCATCATTGTGGTGGAGGGAGACTCTGATAGAGAGGGAGAGAGAGAGAGAGAGAGAAAGAGGGCGAGAGAGAGAGAGACAGAGAGAGAGAGAGAGACAGAGAGACAGAGAGAGATGAGATCAAGGTGACAGGCTGGAGGTCAGTCAGGGTGGGAATTTGTTCTCAATCCCCCCCCCCCCGAACCTCCTTATCGCTCGCAGGGCGGTCGTATAGGTATACAGATGTGTGTACATATTGCGAAGGCCTTATGACCGGTTCCGCCAACCCTGAAGACGGCTACGACGAGGATGTTCAGGAGCTGGTGGCGGAGGACGTTAGGGAGCAGGAGGGGCGAGGAGGAGGAGAAGGAGGAGGAGGAGGTGCGTGGGGGGAGGAGGAGGCCGAGGAGGAGGAGGGGGGGGGAAGCACGAGGAGGGGAAGACGAGGAGGGGGGGAGAGGCGAGCAGGGACGCACTTGCAGGAGACGGACGGCTGACAAGGAGGAGGGGCAGCGGTGGGTAGAGCGTGGCGAGCATGAGCAGCCGGAGACGGAGGAGGAAAGCAATGTCGAGGATGTTGACGATGATGACGACGACGCTGATGATGTCGGTGATGATGATGATGTCGTTGAGGGATGGGGGGTGTAAAACCGTTTGCAGGAGAAGTTGAAGGAGGAGTAGAAATGTGAGGATGATGGTATTGAGGGGGAAGAGGAAGGGGATGCAGAGGAGGAGCCCGAGGCCGATGAGGAGCGGGAGTAGGAGGCGGAGGAGGAGGAGATGGAGGAGGAGGGCGAGCATGGAGAGGCTCATGAGGTTGAGGAAAACAAGGGGGAGGGTGCATGCATACTCTTGTCCAGGGGGGTCCCTGGAAAGGCTGATGGTGGACATGGATGACGTGGCGACGACGATACATGTCTATATACATATCTCTATATGTATATGTGTATAGCTGTGTATGTAATTCTTTGTATATACAGATATAGGCAGGTTCGGTTTGGGAGTGGCCACCCTCCATTCATGTACCCATTGGCAGCTGTCCAACATTCTGCTCGTGTTGCCTGGGCGAGGGAGCGGTTTCGACAACCAGCCGTCATCTTGTCCATCTGGGCGTCTGTCGAACATGTCGCGCACCTGGGCCACACCGTGTGATCGCGTCTCCAGAGTGATTGTTGGAACCTTGAAACTGTACAGTTACATAATTGGTTTCCATATGTGAGCACATTGCCGAGTAAAGTTGCCATCGTCCACTCATTCACAGTTGGAGGTGCGGGCATCGACAATACCACCTTGAGGAGCTCCCAGGCGGGACAGATGTTAGGAAACGAGCTACCATCCATCATTGTAGTTGTCGTGGTTATGAGTACGTTGACAGTGATTGGTCAAACGCTGCATGCGGCAGCGCGATGCTTCCAGCCATTGCCATCGCTCTGTGCAGTCTGCTAGGCATGGTGAGGCCCAGGACCCTGCCACACGAGGGATTCTCCGCCAGCGAGGCTGCGATGCCGAGAACGGTTCGCCCTCCCTCCGTGCAGGTGCCGGTGCTCGTTTGCCTCTCAAGATCCGGCACGGCGCGGGAGTCTCGTGTGAACTGCCCGGGGCCGCCCTGCCGACCTCCTCCCGGGGTTTGCGACGGCGAAGGCGCTCGTGCTCTCGAGGGCGGGAAGGGGGGCGGCGGAGGAAGCGGGACGACGAGAGAAGGGCGAGGGGAGCGCGGGGCGGGAGAGGAATGAGGACAGGGAGGGGCGGGGAGGATGACCTGGCATCGCTCTCGGGCGTGTGCATGTTTCCTCGGCGAGGGCCACCGAGGAGCATCCCGGATCATCGCGCCCCCGCGATGGCACGGGGCGGGGCCTGCCAGACGGGTCGGCGTCGGAAGCGGGCTCCCCGCAGGAGGCCAACAGCAACTCCGCCGTCCAGGCCGGCCGCCGGACGGGCCGGGGTCGGGCGGTGAGACGGAGGAGGAGGAGGACGAGGACGAGGACGAGGAGGAGGAGGAGGAGGAGGAGGAGGAGGAGGAGGAGTAGGAGGAGGGAGGAGGAGGAGAGGAGGATAAGGAGGAGGAGGAGGAGGATTCTGCTATGAGGATTCTGCTATCCTGGTCTGCCGCGCCATGAGCAAGAGAGCGCGACCGACGACGATGAGACAGCACCATCCCCCAGGCCTCTCCTGGGCGACATGGGGCTGCATCCTTCCCGCATGCGGTGGCAGCACGCTGCCACTGCCTGCGCCCCCCTCTCGCGCGAGTTGATCCCAGCATTGCAGCTGATTGCCTCGCTCGAGACTAAATTTGGCTCCAGATTCGCCCCCCGCTTCTCGCAAGGGGGTTTGCCCCAGAGCTCTCGACGATATTGGGCTCCAGCTTCGCCTCCCACTTCTCGCAAGAGGCTTGCCTTGACGAGCCCTTCCCCGAAAAGACGCGCGGCGCCATCTTCACCATTCTCACTACTAGAGTAGGGATAGGGTCCGTCGCGTCGCACTCGCCATTTCGCTCCCTAGAGTCGGGCTCCAACTTCGCCTTCAGCTTCTCCCAGCGCGCTGTGCTAGCTAGGGTGCTGACGTGTGGCTCCAGCGTTACCTTCCCCTTCTCACACCGTAATGCCCTGATCCCAACGCTGTAGCTGAACACGTCGGGCTTTACCTTCTCCGCCCTCTTCTCGCGGTGGGGCGACGGAGTAGGCTTTAGGCTCCATCTTGGCCTCCCGATTTCTGCACGCTGCTCGCACCGTGGCTCTTGCTTCGCCTCTCGCTTCTCACAGTGAGCTGCGGTGTCAAGGACCATGGGCTTCACTTCTCGCGCGGCGCCCGCGATCCCAGCACTGTAGCTGCTCACGTAGGGCTCTACCTCCGCCTCCCACTGATTGGAACAGATGGCTAGGAGAAGAAGCAAGAATAGGGGTAGCGTCGGGCTCCAACTTTGCCCCCCACTTGTCGCAGTGCCTCTTGCCACTGCTCGCCTTTTGCGCAATGCCCTGATCCCAACGCTGTAGCAGGACACGTCGGGCTCTACCTTCGCCTCCCTCGTCTTGCGGTTAGGCGCCGGTATAGACATTGGGCTCCGTGTTGTCCTCCCGCTTTTGGCACGCTGCTCGTACCTTGGCTCGCGGCAAGGGATAGTGGGCTCCAACTTCGCCTCTCGCTTCTCACAGTTAGCTGCAAGGATGGCCGTGGGCTCCACTTCTCGCGCTTTTTCCTCGATCCCAGCATTGTAGCTGATCACGTCGGGCTCCACCTTCGCCTCCCACTGCTCGCGATACGGCGTCGGGTGGTGGTGGACGGCTACGTCTTCGCCGCCTGCACTCGTCTCGTCGAGTGTAGCTGATGGCGTCGGGCTCGTCCTTCGCCTTAGTCGTTCGTAGCTCGTCGTCGTCGTCGCGCCGCAGCTGACGACGTCGGCCTCGTCCTTCGTCGTACGTCCGTTGCCGTCGCCAGCATTGTAGCCGTCGTCGTCGGGCTCGGACTTGGGTTTCCTTGGGCTCCATCGTCGCCTACCGCTGCTGTCCCGTCGCTGGGAGATGCTGGCTTGGGGCGCGACTTTCGCCTGCATGTGGTTCATGAGCTTGTCCACTGCTTCTTTACTTTTCTGCACCTTTGAGGCCGGATCCTCCTGGGGGTGGGAGCAGCTTCGGGCCTCGCTGGTCGGGGCCCAGATCTTCACCTCTACTGGCTTCCCGTCGAGGAGCAGGAGGGTGTCGCACCTGAGCCCGATGGAGCCTTCGCGATGAAGAAAGGCGGGCGGCGGGGCACGAGGAGACGGAGGGGGCAAGAGAGAAGAAGACATCGCGGCCCCCGCTGGCGGCCCGCTGGGGGCAGTGCCACTTCGAAGTTGGCCCCCCGCAAGTCAGGGCCCCCCTACCCCGAGCGAGATGGCTTGAGCCAAAGGAGGAGGAGGAGGAGGAGGAGGAGGAGGGAGGAGGGAGGAGGAGGAGGGAGGAGGAGGAGGAGGAGGAGGGGGAGGAGGGAGGGGAGGAGGGAGGGAGGGGAGGGAGGAGGAGGGAGGGAGGGAGGGAGAAGGGAGGAGGGGGTGGGGGGCGTGGGGGGTCAACGTCCCATCTCGCATTGGTGCGTGGCGGGCGGCAACCATCCCAGGCCTTCAAGCGCCGGGGCGAGACCGAGGAGAAGCGGAGGAGGTACGACTGGCTGCCTTGGGAAGTCCGGGCAGCCGCCGACGGAGGCGACGATCTTGCCGCCCTTGCGCCCCCGCTCGCTTACAGCGCCCGCGCCTTGCCGACGTGGGGTCGGTTCGGGCTGGCCCAGGAGTCGTCGAGCTTTCCGGGAGGCCTGGGAGGCGATGCCGCATCCTATGGCCAGGGCATGGTTCAGGAAGCGCGTGATTATATCGATGTTGTTGATGATGGTGATGGTGATTGTGATGGCGATAAAGACGATGATGATGTTGATGATGATGGTGATGACGATGACGATGATGAGATTGATGAGGACGAGGATGATGATGGTGATGGTGATGGTGATGGTGATGGTTCTGATGACGGTGACGGTGATGATGGTGATGCTGATGATGCTAATGATGTCGATGATGATGATGAGGAGAAGGAGGAGGAGGAAAATGATGGTGGTGGTGATAATGCGGATGACGATGATGACGACGCCGACGATGATGATGATGATGACGACGATGATGCTCACGTGATGGTGTCGATGATGATGATGATGACGACGATGCTTATGCTGAGGGTACTGGTGAGGTTGCTGTTAATGATGATTCTCAAGGTGATTGATGATGACGATGTTGATGATGATGCTGCCGGTGATGGTTATGATGATGATGCTCATGCTGATGATGATGATGATGATGATGATGATGATGATGATGATGATGATGATGATGATGATGCGGATGATGCTGGTGTGATGGTGCTGATGCTGGTATGAGGGTGATGAGGCTGATCATGGTGCTGATGGTGATGTTGATGGAAAGGGTCATGATGATGATGTCGATGACGGTGATGTGATGATGTGGACGGTTACGATCAGGAGCATGATGCAGAGGAGGATCGTCATAACGATGGATGATGCCGCTGATGCTGCTGATGATGCTGATGTTCATGCTCATTATGATGGTGACCCTGATGATGCTGGTGCTGACGTTGCAGCTGATGGTAATGATGAGGATGATGATGATGGTGACGATGACGGTGATGGTGATGGTGGTTGTGGTAATGGTGATGATGATGAGGATGAGAATGCTTATGATTATGATGATGATTATGATGATGACAATGGTGATGATCATGTTGATGCTGGTGATGATGATACTGAGCCTGATGCTGATGATGATACTGTTGATGCTGGTGATGATGATACTTATGCTCCTGATGATGATGAAGATGGTGATGCTGCTGATGTTGATGATGCTGCTGATGAGAATGATGATGATGCGATGGTGGTGACCTCGGCGCTGGCAGGCTGGGAGACCCACGGATCTGCCATTGGCCCGCCTTGCCGACCCCTCCCCGATGCCGCGGCATTGGCGTCACATCGCGCCCAGCGCTCCCTGCAGACAAGGAAAAGGTACCGATGCCGCTTCTCGTCCTGGAGGAACCTTGTCGCCCCGGCTGGATTCTCCGCGACATTCCGGCCAGAACGCACCCCAGAAACGGTCTGTGGAGCGTCACGAAGCTAGACGTGGAAGGGAAGAGATGCCAACCCTGGCCCCCGAGCGGTCCGCGGGGCTCGCCCGCTGCCTGCAGCTGTGCGCTCGCCTGGAGGAGCCTGACCCGCGGGGCTGCCAGGTGACTTCTGGTGACCAGTTTTCCATTCGGAGGATAACACATTTTACCCCCCCTCGCCTCTCCGCCCCCTCTCCCCGCAACGGTAATGACAGGAACGCCGTGAATGCCAGGCATGCGGCGTTGCTGTCATTACCTGTTGTTCCTCCTGCTGATCCGTTGCTCCTCCAGCTGCTCTGGTGTTCCTCCTGCTCATCCTCCGCTGCAGCTCCTGCTCATTTGGCTGCTTCTGGTGGATCTCCTCCTCCTCCTCCTCCTCCTCCTCCTCCTCCTCCTCCTATTGCTCCTCTGGTCTGCCTTCTGTCCCTGTTGCTGCTGGTCCTCCTCCTCGTCCTCACATTCCCTCTTTTCATGTTCCTCCTGTGCTGTTCCCCTGCTGTTCCGTTGCTCCTGCTGCTGCTCCTGCAGATCCTACTGCTGCTCTTGCTGCTTTGCTTCTCATCCTGTTGCTCGTCGTCCTGCTTCTCTCCGTCTGCTCCTCCTGCTGTTGCTGCTGCTGCTCCTCCTTCTCCTGCTCCTCCTGCACCTGCTCCTGGTTATCCTGCTGATCCTCCTTCTGCTGCTGCTGTTCCGGCTGCTTCTCCGGCTGATCCTCCTGCTGCTGCTCCTCTTGCTGCTTGTGCTGTTCCACCTGCTGCTGCTGCTCGTGCTGCCCCTGCGGCCCTGGCGCCCGCTAATCATTGCAGCGGGTGTCCACCAGGACGAGGCGTGTGAGGGAAGGTCTCGCCAGAACACGTCAACGCCTCCACGAGTCTGCGGGCGACGCACCACTGACCCAGACCTCGTGACGGCCGCGCGGCGCAAAGTTAGCGTCACGCCCCCATGAGAGTGAGAGATAGAGAGAGAGCAGAGGGGGCAGGGAGAGGGGAGGGCGCGGAACGCGCGGAGGGGGCAGCAGCAACAACAGCAGCCCCGCGGCCATCAACGCGCACGCGACAGGTCGAACTCGCCCAGAAAAGTATCGACGCATTGTGACAATTTCTCACAGATGGGCAGGGGGCTCCGCAGGCGAGCACGAACCGAGGAAAGAAGGAGGGGGAATGACGGGGGAAAAGGAAGAGAAAACAAACTAGACCAGCACACCATATTATACGTTGGAGCTCTTGTGTAGCACTCGATACGTTGCTCAACATGCGATGCACCCATGCCCAACGTATTACATCATTAAATGGTGCACCGTGTTGTTTCTGGTACACGTTATTCGGACTGGCTGAGTTTGGACATCGGATTGACATCGAATCAGTCTTTACGGGTTCGTTATAGTGTAGGTTGCATGCTGGAAATGGATGCGGGAGGCATTGATCACCACAGGATCGGTGAGAGTATGAAGGGGGGGAGGAGGAGTTTTGAGGTAAGGGCTAGTGCTTGGATCTTCTTTGCCGGGTGGAATCGCCAAAGAGAGAAGGAGGACGTACGAGGTGCCGAAAACTGCGAGCAGATTCGGGTTCCGCACGGGGTCAGTGGCCGGGTGCTTGGTCGCCTCATGTTTCGCTCGCTCGTTGCCGCTGGACCCGCAGCCCTTTTTTGGCACGAGGTGCCCCACGGCGAAGCGCCCCAGACGCTCTGAAATCGGAGCGAGGAGAAGCGACACCAGCAGCACCAGCGGGAGCTGCCGCCTGGCGAGGGGGTCGCGCTGCCTCCCTTGGTCGGGGGACTGGTGCTGCACAGATCTCTGGGGGACCCTACACAAAAAAGAACAT